AATAGTTTGATATTTGAATGGTTCCTGCAGCTGAAATTAGGCTGAAGGAGTTAAATAAAGACATTAAATGTAAGTAGTAGTGAATGAATGTTTACAAACACCTGTGTGTGTAAACCCAGAGATGAAAGGTTACCATGGTGACGATTTATGACGATTTTCCAACTGCAGCACTGAGTGCCATTAAGAATGCATTGAGGATTATATCTGACAATTTTGCCACCTGTTAAAAAACTATGGCTCCTATCAAAAAATGACCAGACCGTGAGCATCAGGGAACCCCAATTAACTGATATATGTTGTTTTCTTTGGTTTTGTGTGTAAAATGTGGAGATGGGAGCAGTTTGTCTAAAGTGTACTTCTCTCTGTTCTGAAGAAAGTTCCGGAAAGATTTAACATGGGAATCAATTGGGAGCTAGGTGGACTTTTTGTCTCTTCATGCCCTCAAGAGGCATTTTGTTTAATATTTTTTCTTAATTCTTTTTTATTTTCCAACCTTGGAGAGCTTTTCCTACGTTTTTCATGAACAATTATGTCTGAAGAGTGTAGGGTTTGGGAATTATGGCAAGTTTAAAACATTTTTTGAGGAGAATTTGAAGCACCCCTCCACTCTGTTTTGAGATCAAAGCACTCTAGACTTAACGAGCTGCTCCATCCACACTAATGTTAAAATCTGAAGAAAGCCTCTTTGCCAAGCTCCAAACAAAGTTAATTATCTCAAAAGTGTAAAAGATATCAAAAATAAAAATCTATTTTGAATAGCTGAGGGTCTTGTGATCATTTGAAAGTTGGAATGAAGTGTCTAGCTGAAAGTATGTGGAAGGAGTAGCATTTGGCGCAAAGTGTAGGAAAAGAGGATTTGAAGGCATCTCCCATTGACTTCAATGTTAAAAAAAGAGTTTAAAAAGCTGAATATTTCAAAAAGTATAAAATATTTTTAAAAAGTTGAAGGTTTCCCATCGATTCCTGAACAGACTGAATAGTTTAATATTTGAATGGTTTCTGTAGCTGAAAATAAGCTGAAGTTATGGAGAGCTAAAGTATTGGCTGAAATAATAATAATAATAATAATAAGGGGAAGAATAAAGATTCGAAGAACTATAGTGGAATGCTGTAAACAGCATTCGCACTAATAATAATAATAAGGGGAAGAATAAAGATTCGAAGAACTATAGTGGAATGCTGTAAACAGCATTCGCACTAATAAGCGGAAAGAATAAAGATTTGAAGTACTATAGTGGAATGCTGTGGCACAGCATTCGCACTAATAAAGATTTGAAGAACTATAGTGGAATGCTGTAAACAGCATTCGCACTAATTAAGAAGCAGTTTCTGCTATGCATGGGGCCCCCATGAGGGGGTTTCCCGACATGTCATTGCAGTAAATTAAAGGGTGTTTCATGTTGTCGTTGCTGTGGACCCTCTTAATCTACCTTCTTTGGGGGCCCCCTTCTGGTCCAAGCACTTGCCTGCCTTGCCTGTCGGCAAACGGCGCCCCTGTATACACACACACACACACATTCAATACATACATACAGTATGGTGACCTGAACTAGTGGGAGAAATGGCACTGTTTGTCTGTAGCCAATGCCTTGAACGAACCTCGGCAAAAAAGGCATTAGAAGCATTAGAAAGTCAAGGTAAACTTGCGGTTAACTTGCGGTCTGCAATGCGTGTCACGCTCGCGCACACAAGTACATATATATGCACGTTCATTCTCACAACGCGTCAGACACAAGAAAATATACATTAATTTACATCAGAATCCGAAAGTTTAATTTTTTATAATTTACATTTTTTATAATGGGACACAGGCTTCGGTCCGGATTGATTTGCAGTTCGGTCCGGATCCGGACCTTGGTCCAGAGTTTGAGAAGCCCTGACTTGGACTAAAGTTAACTATCTAAACAATCAGAGAGTCCTTTAGCTCATCTGAGCCTCTCAATCTGACAGGAGAGGACTCTCTTCCACCTTGTTGTTGAAAAAGCTCCTTATATCCGTTAGCGTAGCTCGCTAGCACCAGAAGCTAACAACAACGATCTTCGGTACCGGTGCTCTCCCAAGGGGGGCGCGCCCCCCACTTTGAGAAACACTGGTGTAAACCATGTAATACCTTTTCAATTCAAAGTTATGCCTTCTCTGCAGCGTGAATCCTTCTCATGTGGTTCAACAATTCATCGCTACGTCTGAAATTGTTCCCACATGCTTTACAAGTAAACGGTTTCTCACCTGTGTGGACTCTCATATGCCTTGTTAATTTTGACATCTCAATGAAACTTTTCTCGCAGGTCATGCAAACATACGGTTTCTCACCTGTGTGGACTCTCATATGCCTTTTTAATTGGGACATCTCAATGAAACTTTTCTCGCAGGTCATGCAAACATACGGTTTCTCACCTGTGTGGACTCTCATATGCCTTTTTAATTGGGACATCTCCTTGAAGCTTTTCTCGCAGGTCATGCAAACATAGGGCTTCTCTCCTGTGTGGATTCTCATGTGACTCTTAAAGTTACTGTTGAATCTGAATTTGTTCCCACATGTTTTGCAAGTATATTTCTTCTCTCCTGTGCAGATTTTGATGTGATTCTTAAAGTCAATGTTGAATCTGAATTTGTCCCCACATGTTTTGCAAGTATATTTCTTCTCATCTGTGTGGACTCGCATGTGGTACATCAAGGAACTACTTTCTCTGAAACCTCTTCCACATGTTTGGCAAGAATATGGCTTCACATCCCTGTGGGTGGTCATGTGTCTTTGCAATTTTGACATGTACTTAAAATCTTTCCCACAAATTTCACATTTGAAATTCTTCACTGTGCAAGTATTATGTTGCATGTCTGACAAGTTAGCGTTGTTTACATTGTTCCTTTTGGTTTTGCGATGTCTTTTGTTTATTTCTGGATCTGCAGTTCTTGTTAACCCTGAGTCATCAGAATTGTGAGAGATGAGCTGCAGATGACTTTGTGCTTCTGATACCACAACACTTATAACTGGCATGTTGCCTACAGACTCTTTTGCACAAGTCCGTCTGCTGTGCACACTTTCCTCATCCGTAAGAGTCACCATGAAGACATCAGTCTCCTGCTTTAGTTCAAGCTGCTCTTCCTCCTGACTGGTGCAAAGTTCCTCCTGTTCCTCTTTAATCTGTGGAGGCTCTGTGTCCTCTTGGTCCAGACTGGAGTTCCTTTCCTGACTACAGAGCTGCTGGTCAGTGAGAACCTCCTCCTCATTACAGACATGTTGCTGAGGGAGCTCTGGAGGGACAGAAAATAAACAAAGTACTGTTAGTGGTGTTAAAAAAACTCAGAATATTTTCCAGCTCCTCTCCCCTTTAGTCGTGATGTCACCACTCTAACGGCCCGTCCACACAGCAGCGTTAAAAAAATCTTCCAACGCTTCTGCCCATTCACTTTGAATGGGGTGACGTCACTTTGCCTCACTTTTCGCCGAACTGCATTGTGGGAAGCAAAGCGGAGATTTCCAGGCATCTCAGGCTTCAAAAGTTGAGCAATGTTCAACTTTTGAAGCTGAGGTGGAAGCATCAGCCAATCAAATCCCGTTTATGCAAATCTGACAGTACAAGCGCTAGCCAATCAAACCGCGTGTATGCTGGGAGAGACATACCGCATGTCACAAACCGGGATACAAACCGGAGGAGCCAGGCATGGAGGGAGGTGGCAGAGACAGTGGTAGGTTTTCGCCTGTTTGGGGAGTTTATATCCAGTTTACTTCGGGCTTTTTTGCTTTGTATGTCGGGGGCGGGAGATTCATGTGATTGGTTGTTGGTCGCGTTGCTCGCAAAAAATCCCCAAGCTTCAGATACGCCCACCTCCAAGATTTTTTTAACGCTGCTGTGTGGACGTACCGTAAGTCTTAACGAGCTCTCCCATTATAAAATGTGAAACAGTGTGAAATGTCCACAAAACATAAGCCGCGACTACATGAGAACCGTACTAGCTATAAAAAATATCCAAATAGTCTAATAAAGTCCATAGCCTCGAGAACCGTTTCAACTTGTAATTTTTTTGCTGTGGCCAATTGTTTTCATTGCATTTACAGACCCTTGTATCTCTCTGATACCACCCAATGAATGCACAGACTTGTTTGTAGAACCACGCTACACAAAGCAGATAGCAACACAAAAACTTAAGCATAGACATTTAAAAAAAGGGGCTACTGTATCGACATTTTAAAATTATATTTAAAGAAAGGGCCCTGACAAAACAGCAGGGCTCTATTTCAGTATTAACTATCGAAAAAAAGACAGCAACAGCTGACATCAAATCTTTGCTGAGCCCAAGGATAATCATAAATAAATAACATAGTGAAAATAAATATATTGCAATGCTCAGTACAGCAGCATCCAACCGTCTCTAATCATAAAAAAACATAATGCAAATAAATGTATTGCAATGCTCAAAACAGCAGCATCCAACAGTCTCTAATCCTTGGATATTACATGTCACTGCATGCATGCACGGAGCAGCTGTAGTGCGGAGATCATCATATCATTCTGTATTACTAAAAAAAAAAAAAAAAAAAAAAAAAAACGGCTTGTTCGCGGGCGCGAGCCGGCTCCCGTCGTTCACTCAAAAGAGCCGGCTCTTTGAGCCGGCTCGTTCGCGACCGACACATCACTAATTGGTTGTTGGTCGCGTTGCTCGCAAAAAATCCCCAAGCTTCAGATACGCCCACCTCCAAGATTTTTTTAACGCTGCTGTGTGGACGTACCGTAAGTCTTAACGAGCTCTCCCATTATAAAATGTGAAACAGTGTGAAATGTCCACAAAACATAAGCCGCGACTACATGAGAACCGTACTAGCTATAAAAAATATCCAAATAGTCTAATAAAGTCCATAGCCTCGAGAACCGTTTCAACTTGTAATTTTTGTCCTACGTTAAAGTATGCAGAATCTGTATGGGGTCAAAGGAGTGTTTTTGAGCTCTGTTCAAATGGATTTCCCATTCATTCCTATGGAGCAAAGGATCGCAGTTTTCTGCGAATTTGTGTGAAAACGGCTAGGCGAATCTCTTTGTAAATGACATAACAAAGTTGCCTTAATCAAAAAGAACAACACAATTGGTTTCATAGTTGAATTCAATAAATGGGTACTTTATTTCATGTAATATTATAATCGTTAAATATGGCATTATTTAATACAGTTTGTTTTATATGTTAAACCAATATGCGTAAGTGTTTGTTGTTTGTTGTGCCTAGGAACTAATGTTTGTCCATGTACTGGTACTGCCTGTTTTGTTGATACACTGGACAACTCAACTTGGGTTGACGTCTTTATTTGAAGCTCTGCTGAAGTCTGTGACAAAGTTATAATTTTACAAGATTATACGGAAAAGGAACTTTAAAGATGAATCTCCTTTCACGACAAGCGGCCAACGAGGTATTTGTTTTATGTTCTCATGTGTCATATTTTCATTCATATATGTGTAGCACAATATGCTAATATGTTTGGCTACGTATACGTGTTATTTGTTGTTGTAGTTCTCACGGCGTAACGGAAGAGGGGAGGCTACAAGATGAAAACTCCAAGAAATAAACCCCCGTTTTAAAGAACCGACCTGTGTCTGTGTCGTGAAGAGAGCTACACTCTTATAAAAGACATAGCAACCCGATCACGGTTATTACGAAACGTTTTGATGTGTTTTTTGTGTGTTTAGTGTCAATGCTGCCGGATGAGTAGCATGACATTTGTGGCGGAAGAAGGAGAATAAGTTGAGATAAGTACCTTGAATACTATACTGTGTGTGGCTTCGCCAGTCACAAAGAATAAGAAAGTATTTTATTGTTTGTTACACACCTGTTCTGTGCAGCTTTATCTGAGGCTTGCCTACAGACTCTTTTGCACAAGTCTGACCGCTGTGCACACTTTCCTCATCAGTAAGAGTCACCATGAAGACATCTGTCTCCTGCTTTAGTTCAAGCTGCTCTTCCTCCTGACTGGTGCAAAGTTCCTCCTGTTCCTCTTTAATCTGTGGAGGCTCTGGGTCCTCTTGGTCAGGACTGGAGTTCCTTTCCTGACTACAGAGCTGCTGGTCACTGAGAACCTCATCCTCATTACAGACATGTTGCTGAGGGAGCTCTGGAGGGACAGAAAATAAACAAAGTGCTGTTAGTGTGGTGTTAGGGAAGCAAATTGCATTCAATGCTGGGCAATGGTGTTAAGATCAATATCACAATATCAAGACAACAACAAACAAGACAATAGAAATGCATTATGCATAACATTTATAAATAGATTTGATCAAATACAAATAAAAAACATTAGGCCACCAACTTTTTTAAACTATAACATTATTCTAACAATGTGTATTTTAACTACTGTGCTTTGTGTATTTGTGATCTGTTGTTGGAGATCTGAATGTGAATTAATAAACAGAAAATAGCTAACGAGAGGCTTCAACCATAATGAATCCCATTCAGATTGTTTTATAATTTGTAAGAACTTGATAGGAAATAATAAAGTATTTCATTGTTTGTTACACACCTGTTCTGTGCAGCTTTATCTGAGGCTTCAAGACGGAATCCAACAATCTGCGCTGACGACAAATCTCCTCCTCGTATGCTGATAAAGCTTGAGCAAAAACTCCAAATATTTCATCGGCAGCTGCAGCTAGTCGCTCGTTGATAACACTTCTCAGTTTCTCAACTGCAGCCATTTCTACTGTGTGAAATATATGGATGTATGAAGAGACAAAATAAGCCAAACCAACTTTTATTTTTCTCGTTGGCATGAACTACACAACTTCCGGTGGAATGTTCTTCTTCGTTGGTTTAGGGAGTCATCTTCTTCTTCTTCTCTTTTTAATGGCGGATCGCAAACAGCTTTTGGTTGCATACCGCCACCTACTGTACACGAGTGTGTATCATCATGTCATCCCTCTAATAAACCAGCATATCGAAAACATAAAACTAAGAAACCATAAAATAAATAAAACAAAACACAAACAAAAAACAAATCATCCATGATCTATTCTAACCTATACTGTTAGATTATTTTCCCTATCCCAGTTTCCCTCAAAAAGGTGAACAGTGCCTTTCTGGTAGCTCTTACTCCTTCTCCTTCTGTTCCCAGAATACCAGCTACATTCCACTCCCTCTCTGCCTCTAAAACTTTAGCCCTTAATTTTCCTCGTTCAACTCTATAGGTGACACAATGTAATATAAAATATGTTCCACATTTTCCCTAACTCCACAGTTCCCACACTTGTCACTGTCACTTTTCCCCATGACATACAGGGTACCATTCATTGCAGTGTGATTTAGTCTGAGCCTAGCTATCATGATTTCCTCCCTTCTGTTTCTTTCTTTATAAATATTAATTGTAATTGTCTTTTGCACTTGATGATACTCTTTGCCTTTCTGGTCTTTCTCCCACCTTTTCTGCCAGATCTCCATCCCTTTCTTCTTAATTACTGCTTTTCCTTCTCCTTTTCCAAGTTTAACTGGTAATGTGATTTCCTTTTGTAGTGCACTTTTTGCTAATCTATCAGCACACTCGTTCCCTTTCACCCCCTCATGAGCAGGCACCCAGCAGAACTGCAGATCTATGCCGCTTCTGTGCAGTCTTAACAGGCTGTGATTGATTTCTATGAGTATGTCTTCTCTGGCAGTTGTTGTTGACCGTATGCTTTGTAAACTGGATAATGAATCTGTGCATATCACCAGCCTATCTGGTCTGACCTCTTCCACCCACTGTAAACCTATTACTACTGCCAGCATTTCTGCTGTATACACTGAAAGTTGGTCTGACGCTCTTTTTGATATCGATATTTTAAATTCTGGGATATATATACCAATTCCGACACACTCTTCCTTGTTCTTAGAACCATCTGTGTCAGGGTTCGAGTTATGTGGGAGCCAATGGGAGCTGAGCTCCCATAAGGAGGGGTCTGAGCTCCCACGGACGCAGTGAAATCATACATCT